GTTGTTGGTCGGCGATTATAGACCACATGTCAATGAAGTCTTGTTCTAATATTTGAACTACTTCCTTATTGTATCTCTAGTGGATTAAGTACAAGAAAGATAAAGAAATGTGTTCCGAGATATGTGGAATACAACAATCTCTCAATGATTAGTAACAGCAGCTACATCGTGTTTTACACTTTAATCCGACAGAGATTGCGTTAACAGCTTCAATCATTTAGGTCATGAGTACATCAAATTTTCATTTCCATGATACATAGGTGAGACATAGTCCTAGAAATGATTTCGACTAAAGTCAACATAGTTTGGAAAAGCTTGTTAGCTCTATCTCTTTGGGACCGAAATGTGAAACTTACATATGTTATTTAATCTCAATAAACTAATACAAAGTAGATGAAGTGAAAAATCAGTCATAGACTATAGTTCTGTTCCAACATCATTGATCAGCAAAGTAAAAATTTGTCTTTTTTATTTCTGCATTTCGAACAGAATTTTTTCTTTTATTTTTTTTTCGCATGCTCTATTTTTTAAGAATAGAATTTAATAGCAAATAAGTCTGTTGTACATATCCATCAAATCTACAGTAGTAGCTCTTAACGCATTGCTATACATCTCGATCAACTCACTGACACTGATATTGATTATTATCCATAATTCTAACTTGATTAATTCACACTTTTTATGTTGATTATATGATGACTGTGGCAAATCAATGTATCGTTACTCGTCATCCTTGACACCTTGAATATAAACTTTTATCTGTGCAAAACTCAAAAACTGCACTATTTAAAGCATTGACAAATGTATTCTAACCATTCAAATTTCGATGAAGACTGAAGAATTTTCTAGAACAGTCAAACTCATGTTGTTAATTTCGGTTAGCTCCTTTTTTCTCTACTACTCTTGTCTGTAATTGAGGAGGAGGAAGTTTTAAAGTCTGTTATTGGAGGACGACATGTTAATGTCTGTAAAGGGGAAGAGGAGCCACAAAATTTTGACTTAAAATATACATTTACTATTTTCCTCGAAAGTATATGTGAGTTCCATAAAAAATGCCTTGCAAGTAACCATAAATGAAAACATAATTTCCGTATCATTGATCGGAAACTGTATTCTATTTCCCATCTAATTTCTTTTCTAAAAATAAATAAATAAATAAATATAAAACAGAACAACAACGACAGAATCTAGTTAGAATATTCTACTAACATAAATCGTCATTCAAGACAGAAGACTTCAACAAGCATCAAGACTTTACGATACATACATGACGAATAGCACATTTCCTACAACTTCGAACTAAATTACTGGACATGAGTACTTTCTGAGAAAATACAATCAATTCACATCACTCATTCTCTGATAATAGACTGCGTCTTTAGTCGATAAATTGAACGAGCTCATTTTTTGAAAGACTTGTCTGGAGATCGAATGGTCTAATCAGGAAATTTTAAGAAGAACACATTGATTTTGTCGCAAATTCCATCATATGCAGAACTTCATATCGACATATGTAGGGTTTCCAATAATTTTCAACAATGATACGGCATAAAAATTCGATAGATAGTGCCTCATCTCACTTTTCGACAAGTACTGAATATAGAATGCTAAATTTATCGCTCTTCTGCGAGTTTTATTGATCGAAACTATTCTAATTGACTTTCTGTCAAAAAC